TGACTTTTAAAAGGTCTATTGAAACTTGATGGTAAAAAGTAATTTTGGTTTTGTAAACTAGTGCATAAGAAGAGTTTTTACTTGTTCATTTGCCCACAACAGGGCATCCGGAGGACCTGTTGATACTGGCCCAGAGTATCAGCAAGAGCTGGAGAGAGAGCTTTTTAAGCTTAAGCAGATGTATGGTAAAGCAGACATGAATACTTTCCCTAACTTCAATTTTGAAGGTAAGTGTCTTCAATCATGGATTCATTCTTGGGGGAGATTTGTTTTAAGTCGAGACTTTATGCCTTATACTTGGGTTGTTTAGAGGATTAAATGACAATCACACGTAAATTTATTAGGACAGTGACATTTGCATGAGAAGCTCTTGTACAAATGCTTGCCATCCGTATAGGAGATTATGTAACAGGTCAAATGGTGGGGATTTGAAATCAAACTCCCTAATCTTGAATCGTGACACTATCACCTATGAAGTGTGTGATCTTGGATAGTTAACTGGTGACTGTTTCCCATCTGACATTCAGGGAGAATTCTAATACCTCTCTCATGGTTGTTGTAATTAAATGACATAAAATATGTGAAGTCAGTTAATAGCCTGGTTTATAGTAAGTGCTTAATAAATCATTATCAATTGTAATAGTTCTATGTAGGTGTTAAAAAACCATAGATACTAAAAAAAAAATAAAAAAATTGATCAGTTAAATATTGAAGCCTTCTAGATAATGCATTTTATTGCAATATAGCTAAGCGTGGACCTTTTTGTTCCTTTTCTTAGATCCCAAATTTGAAGTCATCGACAAACCCCAGTCCTGAAGAAATAGTGTAAAATGTATTTGGTAATTTGTCCTAGATTAGTTGTACAACTGGTCGGAAGTATCGGGACAAACGTACGTTTCTCAACTGTCAAATGTGTTCTTTTAATTCTGATTCCAAATAAATTATTTGGTGATGTTGCGTGTACATTTGAGTGTATTGAATTCTATGTTTCAGCATTGTTTTTAAATCTGCCCAGTTGGCTCTAATGAAACAGGTGGAGATCTTGGGTCAGTTGGCCACAACTTGCCCACAACCTGCCAGGCTCCTCTCGGTGTGCAGGGCTCGCCTTTTACTAGTGGAGACTTCCCGCCTCAGGGGGCCGCCCTGACCTAAGGAATGTTTGCCACAGAGGGATGTTACATCCGTTCCCAGAATATAAAGAAAAGGCTTGTAAACCTTTTATCATAACTTTTCCAGGAAATTCAAGTTAAGCTTGAATACACACGGGAACATTCATTGTGCTTTAACTACCATCTCCTCAAACGTTAAATGCTTTTATCCCAACAGCCAGGTCCCTCCTCTTCCCTTGCAGTTTATGATCATAGATGTATTACTGTGCTACACAGATGGAGGAAGGAAAGCTGGGAGCAGGCGGGGGTTCTACAAAGGAGCCTCCTTGGAAAGAGTAAGCTGTATGGTGTTGTTTTGCCCAAGCGATGGGAGACCCAGCAAGTAGGCGGCATAACAGGCACATCAAGATTTCAGTTAGCGTAGCTGGCTCTTGAGGAAATGATTTTTTTTTTTTTCAAAAGGAAATCAGCTGTGCCTTTTTATATCTGACAATCTGACTTGTGTCAGTAAATATGGATCTTAATAAACTTTAAAGGCTTTTTTTGTTTTTTGGTACCGATTTTAAATATAATTTTATTTAAGACATTGTATTTTCCACTTAAAAAATACAGTGCTTACAAAGTGCAATGTTTATTTCCTTTCCCTGGGCACATAGTCCATATTCAAGTATCAAGAATGACCGGTTTATTTACTATGGCAACTCGACTTTATAATAGCCATGGAATTTGCTACAAATTTGGGTCCTTCAAATGTTGTGTGTGGAACGTGCCTTGTCTGGGCCCAGAGGAGGCAGCACCAGGTGGGGGAGCTGCACCACCAGGGAAGCCTCCAGGCATTCCTCCCACGTGCCCCTTGCGCTTTGGTACAGCTTCGGAACCATGGGGTTGCAGACTTTCTCCAGCTCTTTCTGCTGATAAAGGTTTTTGTTTCTGTTTTTTTAAATATGAAGTCAAAAGTCAGCCTTCTTCATGAGGTTAACTCACTCAAAAAGAGGAATAGATTTTTACTGTGGGTGCCATTCTAGCTGGAGTCAAACCTGCTCAGGACTACCTTTTCCAAAAGACCTGCAAACATTTCCTAGTGATACAGGTGTGATTAAACTACTAAGATGTGTGGAATCGGAATTGGGGAGGGTAAAGTATTAGGAAGAAGAGCCCCAGTTTCTTCAAATGCTGCTAAGCAGTGACAGTTCAGTTGACCTCCTTTTATTTAAATAACTGCAGACACTGAAACAATTCAATGTTTTTTTTATGGTGCTATTTAAAGGTAACTGAGGAAGCCGAGTTGCTCAGGTTCTTTCTCTAACCTCCCCTGAAGCACCTCCACCCACCTGCGGCAGGCAAGCTGCCTGACTCCGAGGTGCAAAGGCCCGTCTAGAAGGGCCTGATCCTTTTCAGCACCTCCTTTGTCTCCCTTTCCTCACTCTGCCACTCAGGTTAGTTGTATTTTACCTTTTATAATTTCACACCTACTTTCTCATACACGTTTGAGAGAGCAGAGCATGAGCAGGGAAGGGGCAGAGAGAATCCCAAGCTGGCTCTGCACTGTCAGCACAGAGCCCGATGCGGGGTTCGATCTCACAAACTGGGCGATGATCATGACCTGAGCCTAAATCAGGAGTTGTTTGCTCAACCACTGAGCCACCCAGATACCCCTCATATTTTTAAAAATCTGCCCTGCAACTATTTGGAGTTTGCTTCAACATCCCAATCTCTTCATTCATTATGTAAACATAAGGATTCGGGGCTGTAAGAATACTGCATTAAGTACCCTACTCCCGGGCCCTACATCAGAGGGTGTTTATTGCTAACTTTTGAACAGGGAAGTACGCTCTTTTTCCCAGCTGAATGCTACAGTGGTGCTTTGAGTCAGATGTTAAAGGCTTCATCTTCCTCAGAGCCCCTTCCTCTTTCTGGTGACGCTGCCCCAACCCTGCAAACTCCAGCCTTTATCTGTCACTTCAGTCTGCCAGTACACTCCTTATCCTGTACTTACCACCTGAGATGTTTATCACAAATGACCTCAGCCTTCTAGGTTTTCGTGTTGAAAGTAACTTTTCTTCTCCCATGCCTGGTGTCACAGGTTGAAGTGTGTCCCCCTAAGATTCATTTATGGAAGTCCTAACCCCCAGCACCTCCGGATGTGATTGTATTTGGAGATAGGACTTTTAGATGGGATTAAGTTAAAGTTAGGCCCTTTGGGTGGGCCTGAATCCACTCCTGACTACCATTCTTATCAAAAGAGGGAATTTGAATTGAAGAAAGGTACAAAGAACTGGAAAGGGACACATGTCTTATCTAGTGTTACCTTTTTTTTTTTTTTTTTTTAAGTTTATTTATTTTGAGAGAGAATGTGAGCAGGGGAGGGGCAGTGACTGGGAGAGGGAATCCCAAGCAGGCCCCCTGCTCTCAGCATGGAGCCTGATCCAGAGCTCGAACCCATGAACTGTGAGATCATGACTTGAGCCGAAACCAAGAGTCAGATGCTTAAACAACTGAGCCACCCAGGTGCCCCTCTAGTGTTCTTTTTTTTTTAAATTTTTTTTTATTTAAAAAAAAATTTTTTTTTTAACGTTTATTTATTTTTGAGACAGAGAGAGACAGAGCATGAACAGGGGAGGGGCAGAGAGAGAGGGAGACACAGAATCTGAAACAGGCTCCAGGCTTTGAGCTGTCAGCACAGAGCCTGACGCGGGGCTCGAACTCACGGACCGCGAGATCGTGACCTGGCTGAAGTCGGACGCTTAACCGACCGAGCCACCCAGGCGCCCCCCCCCCAGTGTTACCTTTAATGATAACCAAAGAAGACTTCTGCTCTAGGCAATTTTTGCTTATTTAAATCCATTTAGTGTGGGATTTTTTTTGTCTTTGTTACTAGTTCTCTGCTGCTGCCCTTGCTTTAGCAGAGCCTATAAATGCTGGCTCTCTCTGGTTAGGGGCTGCATGTATAAATTCTTGGGGGGCTCTTTGGACCAGGTCTTCCTGTTGTACAGATTATCTAAGTGGGAGGTCTGTTTCAACTCCACCTCTTCCAAACTCCCCTCTGTTCCCCATCCCAGTGGGACAGTCTTATTTCAGATGTTTGACCTCAGTAAGACACTGGCAAGAAGGCACAAGGCCAATTACTTTAGATGATGCCTCTCCTTGAGTACAGGAAACTTACCATCCTTGTCCTAAGAACCTGGGGAAACAGGTCCTTCACCATCTCCTGCTGTCTCCTTTGATACCTTTTGCCAATTCTCACCCTGCTCAAAAAAGCTATTTCCTTTTTGGCAGGCACTTACAATTTGCAATTTGCAAAATTTGGGGATAGGCAAGACAGAAAAAGGTTGTGAGCTGTGAGACTGGGGAGGGGTGAACTAGCCAGAGATTACTAAGGGTGAAAGAGAGGGTGTGGCATGAGAGAAGTAAGTAAGAATCTAAAAGAAAGTATGTTGGGGGCAAGAGAAAAAACATCTTGTATGAAACATCCTGAATCAGATGGACCTGTGTTTCTTAGACCATGAGCCCTTATTTCCCTTTGTGAACTTGGCAGACTGACTCTTGAGTTGGTTTCCTGGTCTGCAAATGACCACATGATCCGCTTTATAATACCGTTGAGATGAATGAGATTGTATATACCTGCACCTCCATCCACCCCCACTTCACATGTATAAAATGTTTAATAGTTCTGACTTTTTATTTGCAAGGTATTTTCTTTTCCCCCCAGCATTTGGGAAGTTGGCAGGCACCCAGAAGAAAGATGAGATTCTAATCTTAAGCAGCTGAAGAGCTAACCTTGTAGCTATAGATGGTAAGAGGGCATAGTTTCCCCAGGTTTTATTGAACGATAGGTGGATGACTTTTCCCCTGCACCGGTTAAATGGGCCTAAAAAGTTGAACAAGTTCAGCTATTTTTATTAACATAGACTTTAATCAAACAAAACCACTCATGAGATGAAGGAAATTCTTCGCAAAGTTATACTAAAAAACAATCGTTCCAGATTTAGTTAGGTTAAACCCCTAACTAAAAATAAATTAAATCTAGTTACAATAGCAACAACGATAATTAAAACCAAGCAAAACTTGCTATTAGAGATTTTAGAGCCCTCATCCTTATAGAACACAATTTCACTGCAGGAAAAGAAAATCAAAACTCTCTATGAATTATAATGAGGTTTTGCCTCAATATTATAATATTGTTAATATTCAAGTTCCTCAAAAGCAAATGGAAACACAAGTCCAGATATAGGTGGATATACTTTTAATAAATGGAAAACGAGTGCTCAACATTATGTCCTTTGTGTGGGAGCAAGCATCCTGTACACAATGACTTACTTAGCTACGTACAATATATTAAGATAATGTATAATACATATTTGACTCAGAGAGTGTTATATGTTAACACTTTATAAGATGAGTCTTCTAGCCAAATGGCTCAGCAGCTTTCATCTGTTAGTAAGGCACTGCATGTTTTCCCCCACAATCTGTGTCATTTAAATTGAAGAAGTTGATCTTGTGTGCTGGTAGGTATGCCTGAAGAGCCATCTTTGAGACTCACATACACTCTTGGACCCTCGGCCATGCAACAAGAAAGCATTCCTCATACCAAACCAAATCAAAGCATGGGCAACATTTAGCTTAATTTATTTTTTATTTTTATTTTTTTGGGCAAAAGCTTATAGATAGGTGTTTTTTCTCATGCTTCAGCACCAGGCGTTGGGAAAGTATGCGTGTGGGTCCAGTCCTGTCTATGCCTGCTGTTTTTGTAAATTAAGTTTTGTTGGAACACAAACGTGCCATTTATTATTGTCTACGGCTGCTTTTGAGCTACCAAGGTGGAGTCGAGTAGTTGTAACAGGCACCATAAAACCAGTATGGCTTAAAATATCTACTATCTGGCCCTTTATAGGAAATATTGCAAGGAGTCTGGTGAGAAGCATCCAATGCCACAGAAGAGTGGGGGGCAAGGCACAGTCTGACAACAGACATCTTCCCAGTGACCCGGTGTGGTATCCAGGTATCATTTGTTGGCCCAGTGAATCCTGGGATTTGCTTTGTCTATTGAGGGAAAAATGGATTCCTTTAAAAGTAGCTTAACCATGTTCAAAGTTGTCAAAGTTTGTAAGCTTTTCATCCAGATTTGCCCAGAACTGGAAATGCCCTACCCATATTTTATTTTCAAGATAAACTGAATAATCACAATAAGTTATAGAAGATTATGCTTTTTAACACAGCCTAGTTACTCTTACATGGATCATTGGAATTTTCACTTTGTAACACTAGCTTGGACACCGTGGAGAAACCAGATGATTGGACTGATTTTTCATTTCATTTGTTAGACAACTCTTTCTCCTCTGTATCTCTGGCTCTTCAATAAGCAGGACTGGATTTGATTATTAATTCTGGACTTGACCCAGCCCAGAATTTCACTGCATGATTATCAGAGACAAATATGAAGTCCCCATCATGCAGAGAAGGGTGCCTGCCTGCAAGGTTATGTGTGTGGGGTCCAGTGGCGACGTCTGATGTCAAGTTCACTGATGATCTTCAAAGCGGTCTTAGGAGAAGGAAACAGCAACAAGCAACTCAAGGGAAAGAAGACATTTGGGTTTGGGTTCGACTCTCAAAGTTACATTTAATGAGGAAATCAATGACATCAGGTGAGTGAGCTCTGGTCATTAGGTATTTCTTCGTGTTGTTTTTGGTTCTCAGAAATAAAAATAAACACCAAGTGCAAATCCTTGGGGAGAAGACCACTCCTGCTACCTCCCTTCTGTGAATAGATTAGTGATAAATGAGCAGTGGAATACAGATTGTATTAGGGGAGAAAAGAGGATTCTGGTAGAAATAAGATCAGAGGTTCCCTTTGCATCTGTCAAAGTGTTTTAGAGTGCATCTGTCTTAGAGTGTTTTCTGAACCCTCTAAATCAGACTCTTGTACAGAAAGTGGATGCAGTTTATATTTTCATGCTCTGTGGGTTCATTTCACAATCGAACTTCCTCCAGAAGTTAGGGCATTTAACATCTCATAAACCCCAGAATACTATAAAGTATTGTGATTCTTTTAACTTTGTCCAGACCCAAGAAGCCAGACCGTATTTTATTTAGGTGCTGACAGAACTATTTGTTTAAAATAACAATTTCAAGTAATTTAGCGATCATAAAAATTAGAATGAAATACCAATTTAATCTCCTCATGTACCTCCTTGCAAATGTAAGACAAAGCAGAGATTTAAATCTTTTAATAGCTTGTGTAACAACTGTGGTTTTGGTGTATCTCAAAGGTGGCATTATTTTAAATTATAAAAGATTTTGTATGCTTGAAATCCTAGGAAAAGGAAAAAAAAAACAAGTTTAAGTATAATGTATTCATTCATATTTAAAGAAATAAGTACATTTTATGAGTATAAAGCTACATGCACTATGAGAATCTTACAGGTACAACCCAGCATATATTTAACTAACTCTATTTTGCGGGGAATTAAATAAATACTAGGAGACAAGATCTTTGAAACTTTGCCTAAAGAGTAAGGAAGTAAATGTGGGAGTTAGAGCAGGAGAAATCTTATTTGCTGGGGGTATACTATTGGTATCGACAGGGTGGAGGTTGGGTGCTGCTAAGCATTCTGTAATGCACAGTACAGCCCCCCCAGCCAAGAATTCTACAAAATTGTAAGATTTCATTATAGAAGAATTCATAGAAGAAATTACAAATATAATGGGGCACGTGGGTGGCTCAGTCAGCTAAGTGGCCAACTCTTGATTTTGGCTCAGGTCATGATCCCACAGTTCATGAATTCGAGCCCTGTGTTGGGCTCTATGGTGACAGTGCGGAGCCTGCTTGGGTCTCTCTCTCTCTCGCTCTCTCAAAATAAATAAATAAAGCTTAAAAAAAAAAATCACAACATAAGAATTATAAGAAATTGTCAGTAATGCCAAGACCAAGAAATTCTGCTCTGGGGCAAATTGGAGGCTCGACAATTGGAGGCTCTACTTCTCAGTGGATGAGGGCAACTGAGAGGAAGACAGTGAAAAAAAATAAAAGGTTTTTGCTCTTCTGACTCCACCACAAAGTATCTTTAAAAAAAAACTTTTTTTAATGTTTATTTTATTTTTGAGAGAGACAGAGTATGAGCGGGGGAGGGGCGGAGAGAGAGGGAGACACAGAATCCGAAGCAGGCTCCAGGCTCCCAGCTGTCAGCACAGAGCCTGACGTGGGCTCGAATCCATGAACCGTGATATCATGACCTGAGCCAAAATCAGACGCCCAATTGACTGAGCCACCCAGGTGCCCCACAGTGTCTCTTACTGTTTGGTAGGATGTGATTATTTTATTCCACATTTAAGGAGTATTTTCTAGAAATTATAGGAGTTACATATTGCTTTCTATAAATATGGAGTTATAGACTGCTTACCTACTAATGAAAATATGATTTTGGCGTAGTAAACCACAAATAAAGTGACTTCTATGATGGAGTTGGGAGTAGACAATTTTAGAAAATCAAATTTTGGCAGAAAACAAGAATCCATGCAGCAGTACGTGGGTCATAAAGTTCATATCCATGAGGATCACTTATCTGTTTAAAATACGTGTCCACTGCCTACCCCGAGCTCTACAAATAGGATACCTAAGAGGATCCCTGCCAGACTGCCAAGGAATTCAGAAAACCCACGCTCTGTTTCTCAAGAAAGGGCGTAGACCTCTAAAAACATTGAAAACCTTCCTTCCTTCCTTCCCACATTCCTGAAAAATAATCCAGAAGGTTGAATATCCATGCAGAGAGCTACAAAGTCTGAGCAATGATGGTATTTACTGCTTCACTCTAGTATTGATGAATGCAAAAGGGTCCAATTTATGTTGCCTAAACCATCTGAGTTAGATAATTATTGCATCTCCTCAGGGATTTCTAGAATGTGCCTTTCAGTATTAGCAGAGGATCTTCCATATCCGTAAATTTTCCAACTTCTCTGTATAACCAAAGGAGAGTCCTGGAATCACAGATCTGTTGGAAGCCATCTGCTGAGGCAAGCTGACAAGAGTCAAGGTCCCTGAATCCAGCGCTACCACTGTAATCCTATGAGAACTTGTGTCTTAATGTTCTTATCTATGAAATGGAGCTGATAATACCAGACTTAATGATGCTAAGAAGGCTGAATAATAATAGCAAACATCATGAAAGAAAAGCCCCGACTGGTCTACAAATGCTGGGCAACTTTATCATACCGTCCCAGACGGAGGATGGAAACTAACATTTACTCAGCTCCCTCTAAAGACCAGTAATAATAAAAAAATAATAATAATAAATAAATAAATACCAGTAATAGACACTAGCACAAAGTATATTAAAAGTCAAAATTCATCCTTTCTGTACAATTACTTCATTTCCCTGCCCCATTTCCCAAACACATCTGATCTATAAATATGCTTTAAACATACTCACATTTTCACTCATTGTGGTGGCTTTAGATGCAGAATTACTTCTCCTGTTTATAGAATATAAAAGACAGTATTAAAAAAAAAAAAAAAAAAAGGCCAGCAATCCCAACTGAGTATCTTCTGTTTGTAGACAAAATTCACAGAGAAAGCCGTGCAGCAAGGGATTGGCCCGGGAAACCCTAGGGATCTCATTGTAGCCCTAGGACTAAAGATTTCTGTGGATTATGTGAGAAACTTACTCACTTTTAACTTACCAATTTTTTAAAATTTCGCATTTTGAAAGCTTGATCAATTATCATCAAAGTTCACTTTTTCCCATGGGAAGAAAGCTTTACACAGTAACTAGGGTTCTAGTCATCTGTTGTAGGCTGAACTGTATTCCCCTCAAAAATTCATGCTAAAGTCCCAGCTACCAGTACCTCAAAGTGTGACTGTATTTGGAGATAGAGACTTTAAAATGGTAATTAAATTCAAATAAGGTCATTAGGGTGGGCCCTAATCCAATATGGCTGGCGGCCTTACGGGAAGAGTAAATTTAGACACAAACACAGGCAGACAGAAGACAATGTGAAGACAGAGAGAAGACTATCTATAAGCCAAGGAGAGAGGTCTGAAAGAGATCCTTCCCTTGTCGTCCTCAGAAGGAACCAACCTTGCTGTCACCTTGATCTGGATCCCTAGCCTCCAGAAGTGTAAGAAAACAAATTTCTGTTTAAGCCACTCAGTCTGTGGCACTTTGTTACGGCGGCCCTAGCAAATTACTATAACATCCAATTCATTATCCCCAAAATTTTGAGGGTGATGGATTTGACAAACGGCAAAAACGTATCTAGGAGTAAAGATATTGTCTCCCAGATTCCTACCTGCGTTAACAAAGACATCATGATTGAAGAAAAGAATTACCTTCTCGCCATAGCAATGCCAGCCTTTCCCCTTGTATAAGATGATGCTGTCCAAAACCTCCCATTACTTTCTACCTTATTCAATAAAAGTGAAAGTCCCTACAATTGCCTAGGGTGGAATGCAGAGCAGCTATATCATCAGGCAACCTGTTTTCTGAACTTTTCCCCTTTGCTACTGCTATCCCTGATAACTTGGAGGTCATCTTGGACTTGTAGTGGGATATTATTAGACAGAGAGGCCAGGGTTGAGTAGGAAGTCTGGGAACAGGAAATCAAAGGCAGCTAAGTCTTCAAAATGACTTAGAAGATGAGCAAGTATCTGAGGCCACGCAGCTGAGAGTAGAGGGCAATGACCATAGATCTGGGTTGGGTCTGCCATTTCCACGTACACAGAACGTACCGTCACAAATCAAGTGCACGTAAACTTGGTGATCTCTGATTCCTAGATTTCTAATCCTAGTTAACATATTTCCCCCAAACTCCAGGTTTATACATTCTGTTACTTACTAATATCTCTTTTTGGAAGCTTAGTAGGCATCTCAAATATTAAAATTCCAAAACATTCAGACCTTCCCATCTAAGCCCCCCAAACCTGCTCCCCCTGAAGTCTTGCACATTTCAGTAAATGGTAACTCTATTCTTCTCAGATCCTTGGAGCTATCTTTGATTTTTCTTTTTCTCCCATATCCACATCCAACAAATCAGTACATTGTTTAAAATATATCCAGAATCCTATCATTTCTCAACATCTCCAACACCATCGCTTTGGAACCAGCCACCATTTTCTCTCGGCTAGATTACTGGGTAGTTTCCTAACTGGTCTCCCTGCTTTCTCCACTCTATGTCACCTTATAGTTTATTCCTCACAGAACAGCTAATGTGAGCTTCTAAGAATTAAGTAACAGGATACTACTCCCTCATTCAAAACCTTCCAGCGACTTCCCATCTTACTCAGAATCAAAGTCAAACTCCTCACAACTGCCCGGAAGGGGCTCCATGTAATCTGGCCTCCATTACTTTTGTGCATCCCCTCTCTCCATTGACCTCAATCTGTTTCAGCCACACCAATCCCCTCGATATGCCTCAGATACTCCAGGCAAGCCGGGCCTCAAGACCTTTCCATCCGTTCTTTCTCCTCTGCTTGAATGCTCTTCTCATGGGTATCAGACAGATTTCTGCTCCTTCGGGTCTTTCTCAAATATCACTTCATCAGTGAGGCCCTTCCTAACCACCCTAAAGGACAGTCTCCACTCCCACCCTGTGCATTCTCTTACCCGCTTTAGTTTTCGCCATAATACTATGACAATCTGACAAACTGCAGAGTTTACATTTGTGTGTATTGTCCATCTTTTTCAATGTAAGCTCCGTGAGGCAGAGAGTTATTTGGTCTGTTTTGTTCACTGCCGTATTGCCATTCCCTAGGACAGGGTTGGGCACAAAATAAGTATTCAATTAAATGTGAAAAGCTGTTAAGTAAAAATTTATTTGAAATTTTTCAATTTAGCAAAATACAGCAAATATATTTTCCAAAGTAGTACTACGGAAATGCCTACAGGGGCAAATTAGTGACTACATTTCTTCTCTAGGTAATTGAGCAACATTGACAGGCATGAGGCATGAGGTGGGATGTATTTCTTGATAAGTATGAGTCACTTCCATAGGATACTTCACAACCAACTTTTCATGTTTGACTTGAAACAGATGATTAACAGAAAATTAGTTGAGGTGGGGGAAAGGCATGCATTTAAGAAAGTATACTTACTGGAACGAGGTCTCTTCTACAAAAGAATAAGTGTATATCATTAATGCAAGAGTTAATATGGTATGATGCAGATTAATATATTAATATATTAACATAATATATGTTAATATATTAATATAAAAGTGAGTTTAGGCTTAATTTCTTTTTCTCAATCTTGATTCTCTCTTGTTATATCTGTACTTTCTAATCAAGGTTGGCAAACATTTTCTGTAAAGGGCCATGAGGCAAATATTTAAGCTTTCTAGGCCAATAGGTAAAACTGAGGATATTATGTAGGTACTTGTATAATAAGAGAGAGCAAGTTTCCAAAAATTTTTATTAATACAACTCAACATATAAAAATAATCAAAGTCTTAAGTATAGGTCTATTAATTGGAAGACTAGAATTCTTCTTTGGGGAGGGAATAACATTTCTCTTAATTAAGATTCAAAGTTAGTGTTCCTTGTTATCAAACAGATTGCAAATGTTCATTTGTAAAAACCATTTTTAGCTTGTGGGCCACAGAAAAACAGGTGGCAGGCCGGATATGGTCCACAGGTCATAGTTTGCCAATTCTTATCGGAAATGCAAGCAAGTTTAAGAAAATGATCCTCTCGGATAGGTTGTGGAGTAATATTCTTCACTAATGAATTCGTAATACCCAATGAGAATCTTTAATTATTTTAAGAAAAATGTATTCACCAAGCCTCCAATAAAAACATTCAGACAGATACTTTTTACTTTTTAAAGATGGCAAGAATTCTGGAGTAATCTTATCTGTCTGTACTTTCACTGGTGGCCAGCAGGGGGACTCAGCTGGATTCCACGCAGAAAGTTACATTCACACTAGTCTAAGATTGGAGCACGAAGGAAAAGAACTATTAATTCACAGAGCAGTTATTCTTAATTATAGGGAACATTCTTGAAACAATGCTCATGGAAACATTTTATGACATAGTATCTATTTATAGGTTAAGTTTTGTGTTGCATAAAATGTTTTTTAAACCTAAATTCTAAAATCAATGTTCACTGTGAAACAACGGGTCTAAAACTTGCTTATGCTATAAATGTACTATTCTGTTAAAAAAAACTCTGCTTTCTACACTATTGCCAATGGACGCGATGAAGTTCTACAGCTTTTGAGCTCTCAGATAATTTTAAAGACCGGGAGTAGAGAAATATGTTAAGAGAATAAAACATTATTTTTTTAATAATTCATATTATAATCATTCATATCAAACATATTTTATCATCAAATGGGGGTTTGGAGTTATAAAAAGTCTAAACCTGAAGAAGTAAAAACTATGTGGGGCACTTAGGTGGCTCAGTAAGTGGTTAAACGCCCAACTCTTGATTTTCACTCCGGTCATGACTTCATGGTTCCTGAGATCAATCCTGGCATCAGGCTCTGCACTGACACTGGGGAGCCTGCTAGAGAGTCTCTCTCTTTGCCCCTCCCCCACTTGTTTTTATTGACTAATTCTCTTGTATATACAGTGGTGCTAAATCTGATATTCCACATTCCACTGTTCGACGCTGATAGAATATTTCACTGAAACTTATGATAAAAGTGGAAATCGATTTACATCTTGAGATATGTAATTCCTAACGTAAAGAGATCTTAAATACATGTAAATATACTGGAAATATCCATGGATGTTGACTATCCCAGTAAGTGCTGCGGCATTACGCCACTCCAGGGCGCCTCTCACATATTCTGTGGTGTTTCCTGAATGTTCCGATCAGGCAGCTCTGCCTTTCGTCCCTATGTTTGCCAAAGTGCTTCATAACTCACCTACATGTCATGTTGAACACTTTCTTCTGCAGAAAAACCAATGAAAAATAGTATCTAGGGTTTGTTAGAACTAATTGGGAGAAACAATGTCTCATAAGAAAACTATATCCACTGGAAGTTGTCTAGCAAAGAAGGGTGAAATCCACTTACTTGAAAAGTAGCCTTTCCTCTGAGCATAGCACACACCAAGGCCACAAACAGAAATCACAAAGGCCACACCTACTACAGCTGCTATGATGCCACGTATGTTGAGATCGTCTGGAATGCAAAATAAACCATGCATGAATTTGGGTCAAACAGACAGACAGATGTAGTTACTGAATTGAAAAAAAAAAAATCACAAAAGCTCCCCTTGGCTTCTATACCATAAACATGGATAGTTTCATGCTGTTAAAGCCTGTTCAATTGACTCACTTCCAGGACAAGGTTCAAAATTGCTTGAAAATATTAACAGAATTAAGTTTTGAGGGGCACCTGGGTGACTCAGTCGGTTAAGCAGCTAACTCTTGGTTTCAGCTTAGGTCATGATCTCACTGTTTGCGGGATTGAGCCCCACCTCAGGGTCTGTGAAGGGCCCGCTTGGGATTCTCTCTCTCCCTCTCTCTCCCCCCTCCCTCCCTTGCGCACACAATCTCTCTCTCAAAATAAATACACTTTAAAAAAACAAAGAATTGGGGTGCCTGGGTGACTCAGTCGGTTGGGCATCCGACTTCAGCTCAGGTCATGATCTCACAGTTTGTGAGTTCGAGCTCTGCATTGGGCTCTGTGCTGGCAGCTTGGAGCCTGGAGTCTGCTTCAGATTCTGTGTCTCTCTCTCTCTCTCTCTCTGCCCCTCCTCCGCTCACACCCTGTCTCTCTCTCTCCCTCTCTCTCAAAAATAAACATTAAACAAATTTTTTAAATAAAAAAAATTAAGTTTTGCAAGAATCTTACATTTAAAGAAATTCTAGATTCAGAAATAATACGTATGGTATATTCTCTTGCAGTCATTTGTAGAGGTAAAACTTCAAAAGATTAAATATCACACTGGAAGTGACCTTCAAAGTTCAGTGAATTCAAGTATTACACCACCACATACCCCCCAAATTCTACTTAAAATTCTTCTACATCATCATCTGTGTCAATTTCACCAATGCTGGAAAACTCAATCAACTCCAAAGAAAGCTGTGCCACTGTTCTATAAAACTAAGAATCAGTTGGGGCGCCTGGGTGGCTCAGTTCGTTAAATGTCCGACTTCGGCTCAGGTCACCATCTCGTGGTCCGTGAGTTCCAGCCCCGCGTCGGGCTCTGTGCTGACAGCTCAGAGCCTGGAGCCTGTTTCAGATTCTGTGTCTCCCTCTCTCTCTGACCCTCCCCCGTTCATGCTCTGTCTCTCTCTGTCTCAAAAATAAATAAACGTTAAAAAAAAACCAAAAACAACTAAGAATCAGTAACCTCTTTCTTGAATTTAATCAGGCTTGTGTGTGTGTCCATATACACATATACACATATACACACCCACCTACATATATGCCATTAAGCTGTCATCCCATTAGGTTTAAAATGAACTAAACTCCCCAAGACTTTTTCCTGTTGTTACTAAGTCATCTTCCCTCTAACCTAATACAACTGAATTTTTTGGAACTCACTTTGAAATCACTACCATTGTTACCAACCTGCGAGGCTTTTTCAGATTCTGTTGTCCAAGAATTAGATTATTAACCTTTCGAGATTAATATTTATGTAATTGGGAACTGCCTCAAAAATACCCTCATTCAAGTAATTAATAAAATGATGATTATGATTTTGTTAGGGAAATAACTACGGAAGAGGCTATTATACACCCCCCTTCATATAATAGGATCTATTACACCCTCTGGGTATGGGATCCAACTATGTGTGAATCCGTCTAAATATTTAATTTGGATCACATTTCTCCAGCTCGTCCATAAGGATTTCATGAGCCTCACTCCTCTGTCATTTGGGTACTGCCTGTGTATTGATTAATATGTAGATTACGTATACATTTTAAAGGAACAATTCCTCAAAGGGTTCTTGTTTTTAAAAGCAAGTATTAATTAGCATGTGATTAAATAACTTGGAGAAAATTTTAGGTAGCACTTTCTCAACAGTAATTTTAGATATTTAAAAGCACCACACATTTGGGGAAAGATTTTTTTTAAAAGAAAGATTATTTAAGTGAGTATGCTTATCATAAAACTCTCTGGTCTCAAGTTTTTTTTAAAATTTTTATTTACTTTTGAGAGAGAGAGAGAGAGAGAGAGAGAGAGAGAGAAAACGTAAGCAGGGGAGGGACAAAGAGAGAGGGAGACACAGAATCTGAAGCAGGCTCCAGTCTCTGAGCTGTCCACACAGAGCCTGATGCGGGGCTCAAACTCACTAACTGTGAGATTGTGACCTGAGCCGAAGTCGGATACTTAACCAACTGAGCCACCCAGGCACCCCACAAAATTTTTTTCTAATGCCAAGTGTTATTAATTTTCTCATATGTCTCTGAAATGTTAACTGATTTTTTAAGAAAGAAAACTGGATACACCTTTTGAAAGGCTGAGTAATTTGACCAGAGTAGAAAACATTAATTATTGCTTGGTATAAACTCAATTCATTTTTAGGGTCAGCTGGCTGGCTCAATTGGTAGAGCATGTGACTCTTGATCTCAGGGTTGTAAGTTCGAGCCCCATGTTGGGTGTAGAGATTACTTAAAAGTAAAATCTTAAACCAACAAACAAAACAACAACTCAGGAGCACCTTGGTGGCTCAGTTGGTTAAGCATCTGACTTTGGCTTAGGTCATGATCTCACGGTTCATGAGTTCAAGCCCCACTTTGGGCTCTGTGCTGGCAGCTCAGAGCCTGGAGCCTGCTTTGAATTCTGTGTTTCCCTCCCTTTCTCTGCCCTCCCCCTCTAAAAAAATTTTAAAAAATAAACTCAGTTCAATTTTGCTTAAGTATTCAGAGGTCAATGAGATCCAGCTATTTATTAACTTAAAACAATAGAGGAGGGGTGCCTGGGTGGCTCAGTCAGTTAAGCATCCGACTCTTGATATTGGCTCAGGTCATGATCTCATGGTTCGTGGGTTCGAGCCCAAAGTCGGGCTTTGTGCTAACAGCAAGGAGCCTGGTTGGGATTTTCTCTCTCCTCTCTCGCTGCCCCTTCCTTTCAAAAATAAATAAATAAACTTTAAAAATAAAATAATCTTTATAAAAATAGCAGAGAGGGAATATCCACAGTATTCATAGTCTTTTTTTCTTTTTCTTTAAGTTTATTTATTTATTTATTTAGAGAGAAATAAATTTATTTAGTGAGACAGAGGGAGAGAGAGAGAATCCCAAGCAGAGCTTGACGTGGGCCTCAAACTCCCAAACTGTGAGATCATGACCTGAGCTGAAGTCAGACGCTTAACTGACTGCATCACTCAGGCACCCTACAATATTCATAATCTAAGGCAAAATGAAATTAATAGGGGAAAAAATCCACAATAATCATAATCTAAGGCAAATTGGTAACTAAATGAAACTCCTTAGAACCAAACTGTATCTACTATTTTCTTTGCAGTAGTCAAAGAATGTGGTATCTGTGGAGTTTTCAACCTCAAGGTTATTATCTGACAAAAATCCGTCTTACAGTTTGACAGTGAATTTGACATCTAACAACGACAAAAAAAAAATGTCTTCTCCTGTAAGACACAGTATAAATTTTATTTTATTTTTTTTTAGTGAAATGGAAGGAGTCTTGTAAGTTAGAGGTAACATGTTCTCATGCCATTTGCCATTTACTGCGAGACTGAGAGCAAGTTCTAAAGCCGCCTTATGCCTTACTAACGAGAAAATGTAACACACACAAACCTATTGTGTTCTTTCTTTGAGAAAAAAAAAAAAAAAAAGTCCAGTATGAAAGGAAGGTATCATTATTCTCACTGAAAGGAAAGGAGCCAAACTGTTAAAATACTAAGTGGGAGTGGGGTCTTGTGGAGTTTTGTACAGGGGCAGCTTGGGAATGATCACCAGACCCATGATTTACCTTCTTTCTGAACTTCAAAAAGAGCTTCTTTAAAGCAGTTAACAGATTCTGTTTGGGGTTACAAGTTACTACTGATGGTTTACCAAAAAAACCTTTGATATGTGATTTCATGAATTCTTACGGATTTCAAAAGATATACATTCCAAACCAAGGGCATGAAACACCTAGGATCAATGGATGAGCATTAAACAAACTAATTGTAACTTGTAAGCTAACTTATACCAGAAAGAGGAGATAATGGGAAAATCCTAGTCAAATTATAGTGGTGATACTAGCAAAACACCAACTACTGAATTTCATCTAGTATGTATTTATTTACTCCAGGCCAGGGAAAAACATTCACTAGATTTCTTAAGGTGAGACTACATTAGGCACTGAAATTAAATGGGACCATGTAAAGAAAAAAAACTAAAACAGTAATACTGCAGGGGGAATAAGGCTACCATAAAAAACATGAGGATAGTAGGTGAATGAAGTTAGGGAAACACTGTACTAATGCATTAATTTTAAACATGTTCTGATAAATTTTTCTAATGATAACTCCAAAGCAGCACTAAGAGGGATACTTTCCTTTTTTTTTTCTTTTTTTTAATGTTTATTTTTATTTTTAAGAGAGAGAGAGAGACAGAGCATGAGCAGGGCAAGGGCAGAGAGAGAGAGACAGAATCCAAAGCAGGCTCCAGGCTCTGAGCTGTCAGCACAGAGCCCTACGCAGGGCTTGAACTCCCAAACCGCGAGACTATGACCTGGGCTGAAGTGGGACGCTTAACCTACTAAGCCACCCAGGCGCCCCAAGAGGGATGCTTTCTGATATTTTAAGCAAACACTTATGTTTGACTGTTACCATCAACACTTGGAGTGAATTTGGTGGATAATATGCATCTCTGAATTTCAAAAAGACACTTGTGGAAATTAGAATACCCTATTGAGTTTCTTATACGTTAGGGTATCCTGACCTCTAACAAGATCATATTTTCTTTAAAAGACAATGCCAAGAATTTAACCGCACATAAACAACACAAATTAGTGTGCATGTATCTGCATATCTCCGAGCACACTGAAAAAACAAATTTCTGACCTCACAAAGATGAAGACAAGCTCCTGACCCCAGGGGAGCCATGGGTATTCAGCTTCAGGGTGCAGCCCTCCTGAGTGACCTTTCACCCCGCAGGTGCGATCTCCAGCTACCCCGCTCCATTACACAACCATTTGCAAAACACAGGACTTTCACAAAGGGAGAACTGAACCAAATTATTAAAAATAAAATGAAAGTAAGTATCTGCTCTGGAACTCATATAATCTGAAAAGATTCCCGAGTACTAATTTTTTGAATTCTAAGAAGCTTACGTTGTGAAATACGGCAGGTATGTTTTATAGCAAATAGGGATTCATAACTACATTTAACATGTCTTATTTTTTTTTTTATTTAAATCAAAGTTAGTTAAGATACAGTATAATAATGGTTTCGGGAGTAGAATGTAGTGACTCATCACGTACATATAACACCTGTGTACATCCCGAAAGTGCCCCCCTTAATGCCCATCGCCCATACAGCCCATCCCCCACCCCCACTCCAGCAACTCTCAGTTTGTGCTTTGTAAGATCTCTTATGGTTTGCCTTGAGAGCCTACTCTGATAAGTAAAGCACTGTATTTTAGGAGATTGAAAAAAATTACCAATAATAATCTGATAACAACAACTAAAATAGCCAACAATCTGCCAGTGCTATTTCAATAACCCTTTGAGTTTTTTGTTTAAAAAAATTTTTTTTAACGTTTATTTTATTTATTTTTGAGCATGAATGGGGGAGGGGCAGACAGAGAGGGAGACACGGTATCCGAAGCAGGCTCCAGGCTGTGAGCCATCAGCCCAGAGCCCAATGCAGGGCTCGAACTCACGGACCGTGAGATCGTGACCTGAGCGGAAGTTGGACGCTTAACCGACTGAGCCACCCAGGTGCCCGTTTTGGTTTTTTTTTTTTTTAAAGTAAGCTCTACTCCCAACATGGGACTTGAACTCACGACCCCAAGATCAAGAGTCTCATGCTGTACTGACTGAGCCAGCCGGGCACCCCCTCAAATACTGATTATTTGAATCTTCATAATAACCCTATGAAGACAGAGTATTACTACTTCCATCTTGGGGAGGCTGAGGCTAAATAATTTGCCCAAGAATATGTAGCTAGGAAGTGATGGAGCTAGAAATCCAACACCATACCGAATCCTTGACCCTGCGCAATTTATAACAGTCACAGTGTTTGTTTGAAAAAGGCCGCCTGGACAAGCATATTTTTAAAACAATTATCTGGAAAATTAAGAAACTTCAACAGTATAATCCTAAACATTCTTGGCTTGTTTGGGAGACGAACTAAGAACAGAATGTGTGCTTTTTGCAACACATCATGTCCAAGCGAATTTTAAACACTCCGTCTGGCTTATCTTTCCAATCACTGGCCCGATCCTACCCCTTGCTCCTTCTCCCCAAGCACTCATGCGTTCTGGCTGCAAACCACTGCTCCTCCCACTATCTCATGCTTACCTACTTGCATTCGCTTCGCGTAACACCTGCGACGTCCCACGGAATTATGGGCTTCACAGAAATATTCTCCACTGTCTAGTTTTGAAACAGTGTTAAATTGCTATTTGCGGAAGGAAAACAAACATATATGTTAAGCAATAAATCTCTAAGTAGACTCCTAAAGTAACCGCATCCCTTGAATTTTAGCCATCAGTAGGCCTTTCCTTTTTCACCACCTAGGCCTTTATACCTTTACCGCGAACTCAAAAATCTGCCATGACTTCCAGGCGTAATTAGCTAGGCTTCCTGTTTATTTGGACAGAGAAGGACTTAAATATATACGGGGAAGTGTCTTTGTTTTGTGATACTGAGGAGGCGGTATGGTTAAGAAGGCAGTGGGCATTTTTCAAAGTTTACAGCATGTGGTGGTATGACGTTTTGTCAGTATTTCTAAGTCCTGGGACGTACCCCTCGGAAAGGCAGGCCTCCTTGGTCTGAAGGGGCTAAGGCAGTTTTCTCAGCCACGAGTGAGCTCGCTGCAGCAGCAAACAATCAACACTTCCTCTAAAGGGCCAGAACTCCTACCAGGAAGTAGCTTAGGGCCTAGGAAAATCGTGATGGGTGCAGCTTACAGGGTTACAAATCCTCTCCGTGGTAGAATTCTTGAAAATTCTGAAAGAATAAAGGGCTAACCTTTGCTCCTTCTCCTCTCTGCCACAATAACTGAAAGGTAAGACTTTGGTATTATAGGCTTCGTAGTTTTTATTAGTGGATTTATTCCCTTTGTGAATTTCTGGAAGGAAGGAAGGAAGGAAGGAAGGAAGGAAGGAAGGAAGGAAGAAGGCAAGGAGGGAGAGAGGGAAGGAAGGGAGGGAGGGAGGGAATGCAGTGGGTCCTGAACACCTTAAAGGATGCTGCCAGTGCAGAGGGTGAGAGGGGTACTCAGAATCATTCTTTTGGTGCCCTCCTGTCACACCCTCAATACTGCAGTGGTCACTGTGGACTGCATCCATGACAGCCATGAATCTCTAAGGAGCACCTCCTCATTGTCTTAGATCCTCATGCAATGCATGTTCCTAAAAACCAGGCTTTTGATCCATGAACTCCCTTTTCTCTCTCCCTTTCCATCACCCACCGCCTACACATCGCCCTTTTATTCTATATACTTCAACATGATAGGACAGAAAGCTTCTCCTCGTGTATTTCACTTTATGAAATCATCTATCACTGTCCCCAAAGCCAGACTATAAAAATATTCACCAGGAATGTAAGGCCAAGGGTAAGTATTAACAACAAGTTAGACTAAAACCATAAATGATTTACTGGTGCAGAAGTAATAATTGAAAGGAAGTCATTATCATCCATCCACTGGAGTCTTTGTTGCTTATTTCTCAGGAAATAACCCATCCTTGTCCTGCCCTGGTGCCTCCCTTTGACATCATAAGATATTTCAAGGGTTGAGGCTAAGTGGGGAAGGTGAATCTATATCATTTCAAACTCACCTTGAGGCTTTTATCACCTGCTCTGAGAAAAAATAAATTTGAAAAGTAAATATAGCGAAGTGTGACGGCAGGTCTTCTGCCCAAGTTCTCAGTGTAAAATTCATCGGACCTGCTGACTGAGCCCGCTGACGCTGCAAGGGCTGGAGTGTGGCCCTCGTCAAGGAGCCACAGCCAACAATATGCTTTATTATTTCCCAGAGGATCTGGTATTTAAATGTTACGGTGTGCGTGTAGATTGAAGGAACGAACCTTTTGACAGTTGTTAAAATTATTATTATTAGTTCTTTGTATGGCCTTCCCATCTCCTTTTCCATCACTTCCGTGGGCATGTGCCATCTTTCCGGCACCCCCCTCCCTCTCTCCACTTAAGCAATGGTTATCAGCCCTCTATTCTCCATCATTTTAGTTCTAATAATTTTTCTTCTCCAAATAAAAGACTGCTATTAGGCCAATGCTTATCATGACCTTACCAGAGTCCCAGATTTTGTATTCATTGTATATGAGCTGTTGCTGCTTTGGGGGCCACGTCTTGGATTCTCTAACAAATTGACGCCATCTTTAAACCACGTGTACTCAGGAGCTGGATTCCCTTCTTTGTCATGACATCGCAGCTCTACCACAGTTCCACTCAGAGCAGAGCTGGGGACGTTACACAACGGAACTGCTGGAGCCACTGAAGGATGGAAGTCAAACGGCACTGGTTATTTATAAGCTAAACAAGAATTTTAACAGCCAGGTAAAGATGGGTTTATTGGACCCCTGGGATAGAGACTGGCTACTTGTTCAAGAGATCCCTTTCCTTTCTTCATGGGGACACAGCTAGACCACGTGTGCCAGGCCCCTTGCAGCCAGATGGAGTCACATGCATGAGTTCTGGCCAATGGCACGTGGGAAAAGTGATATATGCCATTTCTAGACCTGATTCTTGACCATAAACACTAATCTAGGTACTACTTCGAAGAGATTTTGGAGCTGTAACTAAGGTCCCAAATCTACTGTCTTTTAAAATAGGGAGATAACATAGATGGGTCTGACCTAATTGCATGACCCCTTGAAAAGTCATTTTCTCTGGTCGGTCACAGAAGGGAACATCAGAGATTCAAAGCACAGGAAGGATTCAACATGCTTTTGTCGGACTCTAGGTGGAGAGGGCCACGTGGCAAGAGATGTGGCGCCTCCAGGAGCCGAGTGTGGCCCTCAGCTCACAGCCAGCATGGAATGGAGACTTCAGTAGTGCAGCCACAGGAACTGAAACCTGCCAACAGTAGTGAGCTTGGCAGTGGGCATCTCTGCGGAGCCTCCAGGCAAGAACTCAGCCCAGCTGACTCCCTGATTTCATCCTTCTGATACCCTAGGCAGAGAGCACAGCCTTACCTCCTGGGCTTCTCTGAGCTACAGAACTGTGAGCTCGTAAGTGGCTGGTGTTTTAAGCTGCTAGGCTTGTGATCATTTGTTCTGTAGCAACGGAAGACTGATGTACCAGCTGAATCTCCTGCAAGGTTTTCTGAATTAAATTTCTACTATACTGGTGCATCGCTAGCATTTTAGGAAGACCCTGGGTTGTATAGAAAAAGGAAGAGGAGTTATTTGACTCTCTATGATCAACAGTTTATATTAATATCTATGGAGAAGAAAAGACCATGTTCCTCCACTAACTGTCAGCATGAGCTATTAGGATCTATCGATGAGTCTCAGAGTAACTAAATATATTGGCTTTGGAGTTAACTCCACCAGGGTCCGAATCCTGGTCCAGACACTTATTGGCTGTGTAGACTTGGGAAATCATTTAGCTTCTATTTTCTCATCTATAAAAATGAAGTTGTCAGTGTCAGATTAAGTAAAATTACATATGTGAAAAAGCCTAACACATACTAGTTGCACGGTAAATGCTAATTTCCCCTCTTTACCAAATAACCTCTAACTCTTTCTCTGGCCTACTTTTTCATTTTATTGCTTTTCCATCATCTCATGTGATAGGATTTTATGTGGTAAGAGATATACCACATATACTGAAAGGTACTGAAAAATAAACTCTTAGGGGAACTGCTCCTATGTACAGGATAGGGCCATTAAGATACCCTAATCTTAAATGATAAGAGATTTTGTCAGAAAAAATGAGTGAGAGTAAAATTTCAGCAGCAAATGAGGTGAAGAGGAGATATAGCCAAGATTTTGCAGGAAAGGTGCTGATTTCTAGAACTTTCCTGACTGGGGCCCCAGGTTGCCTCATTGCCCCAGGGCTGGGGGATGAGGGAGGGAGGGTGGACAACAGTAATCCCACAGATACAAGCGCATCATACCTAGTACTTCCAGAGTAACCGTATCTTCTTCCAGGTTTTGGCCTTTCTTAGATGGGGCACTAATTTCACAACGATATTTCCCAGCATCATTTCTTGTAACATTTTTGATCCGTATACTGAAATCTATCATCTCGGCTCGATATTTAAAATCACCTTTTAGAAAAAGAAGACAATGACGTTAATAAGAATGCAACTAACTTTCCCTACACTACCTTCCTCAAGTCACCTCGCTTTTATTCTATTTGTGCCTCTAAGCACTGAATTATTTTGAGGCAAATTATTTTATTTTATTTTATTTTATTTTACTTTTTGAGGCAAATTATTTTAGCATGTCATCTATTATTATCAATGCTTTAAAAGCTCATTACATATTCAACAGGAAAAACAGGAAGTGGAAAGAAGTGTATAATAAATTAAAAATTAAAAATAAAGCCCCACTAGGGGCGCCTGGGTGGCTCAGTCAGTTAAGCGTCTAGCTTCAGCTCAGGTCATGATCTCACGGTTTGTGGGTTTGAGCCCCGCGTCAGGCTCTGTGCTGACAGCTCAGAGCCTGGAGCATGCTTCGGATTCTGTGTCTCCCTCTCTCTTTCTCTGCCCCTCTACCACTCACACACTGTCTCTCTGTCTCTCAAAAATAAATAAACACTAAAAAACAAATAAAAAAAAATAAAGCGCCAGTTAAAGGTAGTTGTATTTACCCTCTACCCGCTCCCCTCCCCATAAGCCTAAGTCTTAACTCCTTAGGCTTGTTAGTGATGGCCTAGCTTTCTAGACGGTGATATGGACATAGGGTAACATGACTACAACTGAGCAATGACCCTCCACCACACCTCCACACCATCCCTTCCTCCTTTCTCTCAAGAGTCTAATCTACTGAGCCAGCAAGAACAATTGCATTTTACATCCTTTACAAATGAGCTGAGACATGAAGGGTCCAGGGTCTCCACGGACTTCGCCTTCTTCTGTTCTCTGTCCTGTTTGGGGGGTGTTGTGTTCTAGGTCTCAGTCATTGTTGGTTTCATCTCATACTTACAAAACATATTCTCTTTCACCATACACAAAAATAAACTCAAAATGGATTAAACCTAAATGTGAGACCTGAAACCATAAGAATCCTCGAAGAGAGCATAGGCAGGAATCTTTCTGACAGCAGTCATAACAACATTTTTCTAGACAGATCTCCTGAGGCAAGAGAAATAACAGCAGAAATAAACTATTGGGACTACATCAAAATAAAAAGTTTCTTCAATGAAGGAAACAATTAACAAAATTAAAAGGCAGCCTATGGAGTGGAAGAAGATATTTGCAAATTATATATTTGCTAAAGGGTTAGGATCCAAAATATATAAAGCACTGATATGACTCAATACCCCAAAACAAATAATCCAATTAAAAAATGGGCGGAAGACATGAACAGACATTTCTCCCAAGAAGACATACAGATGGCCAAAAGACACATGGAAAGATACTCAACATCACGCCTCATCAAGGCAAATCAAACCTACAATGAGATATCACTTCATACCGGTCAAATGGCTAACATCAAAAACACAACAAACAACAAATGTTGGTGAAGTTATAGAGAAAAAGGAACCCTGTACACTGCTGGTGGGGATGCAAACTGGTGCAACTATTGTGGAAGAGTGTATGGAAGTTCCTCAAAAATTAAAAATAGAACTACCGTATGGACCAGGAATCGTACCCCTGGGTATTTACACAAAAGATACAAAAATTCTAATTCAAAGCGGTAACACACACCCCTATGTTTATTGCAGCACAATTTACAATAGTCAAATTATGGAAGCAGCCTAAATGTCCATCAATAGATGTATGGATAAAGAAGATGAGGTATATATACAAAATGGAATATTACTCCGCCATAAAAAGAATGAAATCTTGCCATTTGCAATAACATGGATAGAGCTGGAGGCTATTACCCTAAAAGAAATAAATCAATCAGAGGAAGACAAACGCCGTATGATTTTCACTCATATGTGGAACTTAAGAAACAAATGAGCAAAGGAAAAAAAAACAACAGAGAGAGAGAGAGAGAGAGAGACAAACCAAGAAAAAGACTCTTAATTGTAGAGAACAAACTTATGGTTACCAGAGGGGAGATGGGTAGGGGAATGGGGGAAATATGGGATAGGGATTAAAGAGTATCGTTATCATGATGAAAATAAAATAAAAATAAAATAAAATAAAATAAAGTAAAATGAAATAAAATGAAATAAAAATGATAAAACCCCCCACATTGTCCATAATTAGCCCTGTCCTGTTTTTATTTGTAAATTAAAGAATCTGGGCTACATTTGGTGTTCTCTTGCTCTCACCTCCTCAAGTCTACAGCATCTTACCTTGAAGAGACTGTTGGTAGTAGACAAAGGAGACACTCCGGCCCAGTTTCTTCCACTCTAACCTGGAGGACATGGTCTTCTTTGCATATTTGCAGGCTAATATAACCTCTAGGAACAACAACAAAAATACTTGTTTTCTAATTGTTCCTATGAATTTATATTTTACTTAAGTAAATTGTTAAACAGCCTTCAGCTATTCCCATTCATTCATTCCTTCATTCACTCATAAATCACTTCAACAGACTCCATGATGAACCTGAGAGCATTACAGCTCTTCTCCATAATAATTGCACGACACTATGTTACTCACCCTACTTCTTGAGCCTCGGTTACCATCTGTAAAATGAGACAGTATTTCCTAGAGTCGAAGTGAGTCCTCAAATACAATAATATATGCAAAACACACATGCCTGGATATAGTAAGTAATGTGAAAATGGCAGTCATGGTCAATGATTTATCTCACTATTCCCAGTCTCAGTCATCAAGGTTACAGTTTGGTAGAAGAGGCAAACAAGATCATGTAATTTTGATGCATTGTGATAAGTGCCATGAGTGCCATGGAGGTTAACAGAAAGGGTGCTTCACACCTAGTGCCTAAGAAAGGCTCTCAGTCCAGCCTGTGGAATCCACAAACATTCCATCAACAAGCTACAATCTCATTCGGGTTCCTTTTTTGATAACCCTCTCTATGGATGTATTAATACAAACCCAGTATGGACTTCTACTAAATCATGGATTCCTATTCTTTCTCCAGATAAATTATGAAAAGATTCAGTCTTGGCATCAAGTTTAACTGCCTCCCTGTAGTTCATTTCAGTTACTTTATTACAGGAAATTTACTGCAGTCACATCTTTAAAGAATTCCTGGAACCCTGAAGGAACCCCCACTTAACTGTCCAAACAAGATCACCAAGGTGGGGAGAAATCCTGTGTCTGCTTTGAGTTACCAAAGGAAACTCTGCTTGTAAATATTTTTAAGGCACATTTCAATCAGGCAATCTAGAGTGTCACCTTCATATTTCTGAGATTTTTTTCCCCCACGATGCATCTAGTTTGACCCCAAAACACCAATCTTTGACTAGAAGAGACTAATTATGTTAAAATCCTTTCCATATCTCTGATTTTGATATAGGAGATTGAATGCCATTTTTAAAAAGAATTCAGGATATTACATGATATGGTAGATTAGAAAGCAATTCTTGTACTATCCCAGGTTTATTAATATACACACAAATATGGACAAAAAGCCTGTAGAAATATGTATGAAAATATTAACCCAGCGGTGATTTTTGTGAGATAGGATGATGACTTTTCTTTTTGTTATATGGAGCTTCTAATTTTTCTTTTAGTTTTACACATGTTGTTAGGATAAAAGGTAATGGAAAAAAGAAAACAGAACAGAGAAAAGGAAGGCAAGGGGGGGAAAAAAGCCCACAAAATTTGCTATCAAGAATGCCTGAAGTTTTTAGAACAGGTTTACATTACGAAGAGACATCGTTTTACAGGCATGTTTACAATTATGCCACAAAGACAAATGTGTGCTGAGGGACTTGTCTGAGGAAACACGGTTCTGTTCTGTTGATTAAGGAGAATGGGTGGTGACTTTCCGGAGTCTTGAGTTTTAGATAGGTTTCCTTCCCGTATTTTGTTGAGTTTCCAACAATTAAACACACACCCACACTCATTTTTAGCCCACACGCCTACATCTTAGGAATAAATTTGTATTCAGTCACACTGCTCATATATTTCATATACTTTTAACTAGACACACACACACATACACACACACAGCTCTTTTTACCAAGAAGATTTGACTTCTCGCTGCTCCATGGAAAACCTCTGCAGAAATTATATTCAAAAATGAAACCAATGGATTGCCTAAATACAGTGACACCACTCCAGCTTCACTCCAGTGACCATGTAAGATGTGGAGGAATGTTCTCTCCAATTGGTCCAACTATTGAGTACTTACTGTTGTGTCCACCTTTGTTCCTGAGCTATATCAGTGAGCAAAACAAAGATCCCTGTTCTTTTGGGTCTTGCAATTTGCAGGGGGAGTCAGGTACGTAAGAAATATCATAAAGTGAATTAAATACCACATTAGGAGGCAATGAGCGCTATGGAAATAAAGTAGAGTAAATCAGAATAGAGACGGAGTGCTATGGAAATAAAATTGAGTAGATCAGGAATGTTGGGGTGCAGTAAAAAGAAAAAGAGAAATGGAGTAGTCAGAGTTCAACTCAATTAGAGAGTGACATTTGACCAAAGACTTAAAAAAAGAAATTAAAATTCTTTAGAATTTAAACACAAATTTCCTAGAATTCGAAACTGGAATTCATCACGTGTTTCTTTGGGAGTATTCCAAGCAAGGCAATGGCCAGTGCCTAGATCTGAAGGGGCCAACACCATGACCTCCAGAACTGTGAGAAACAGTAAGTCAAATGGAACCATGGCATCAACATCTGAGGATAAAGAACCAAATGAATGGAGAAGCTAACTACCACAGACTCTCCTCTCTCTTTGCAGCTAAAATACAGCACTTATGATCAGAATAATTCTGTAGGTAGCCCTCAGGGTTACTAAACCCTAATGTAGTAGTTTAAGGCACGGACTTTGGAGTTGGAGCTCTCCCATATACAACGTGTGCGATGTTGGACAAATTACTTAACTCTTTTTGAATGTTATATTTGCATTTGTATAAAGGAAAAAAATGATGGTATTCATCTTATGAAGTTATTGTGAAGATTACATGAGGTAATATACTTATACACTTGGGTATGTACTTATATATATACTTATATGCTTGAGGTAATATACTTATATAGTTGGTACACAGCAGGTGCCCCATCAATGGTTATAACTGCTTTCACTCACGAAAAACTTCTTGTCATTGTAGTTGAAGTACGCCTTGACGTGATAGAAACCCACGCTTTCTACAACCCAAATTTACCTAAAAAAAATCACTCGAATTTGAACTAAAATGTTATCTCAGTTGTAGACAGCAAAAAACAGGATACAGACATAAATCATATTTTCCCAAAGCAAGGCATACTGAAGCATACAAATGTACCATGTTTTTTAAATAAGATGATTATTTCATTTCCAAAAACATGTCTCTCTTGATTCGAGGAAAGAGATTTCTTTGTTTAGAAGAACTATTAGCAATAACTATTTTCATGTAGCAAAACAGCCACTTTTAGGAATCACCTCGATAGAAAGCACTGTGGGTTTTAGTTTTTCTAGGATTCTGTACTGCCACTTATCTTTTGATTTTATTCTCTGTGCTCAAGTTAAAAAATCATCAGAATCTGATGTAATGCAAAAACAGAATCGATGCTACCAAAGCAGTTCTGAAGACTTATGAAGAAATTACTTCTGTGAGAAAAAGGCGTTCTATTAAACTGATTTATAGCTCTCAGGATTGGACACTCTGCATAAAGGCTGCTTATATAATTTATAAGCCTTGCAAAGCTGCCCTTGCTTCAGTCTTGCTCTGTTCTTGGCACCGCTATGGGAAGTGACACAAAACAGCAGTACCGAAAAGAAGGAATTAATTCATGATTTGTTGACATCGGAGAGACAAGAAACAAAAAATGAATGAGGTGGAAAGTACCTACACAGAGACATAAATTACAAAATATTTTAGACTTGAACTGAAATTAAGTTACTGCGTAAGATATCCTGCAACTAAAATGTGGATGAAGTTAGAAATTTATTTTTTGCCTTTAAAGAGAGCTAGGTTGGAATGACTGGAGCACATATGAAATCAAATCAAAGTACAATTCTTAAGTAAAAGGAGCAAAGGGGAAACAAAACAATAGAAAATACTTACTTGGGAGTAAGACTAACATTTGATTGCAATACATCATAGAAGGATTTTTTATATTGAAAATAAAACACGCATTAAAAAGTAATGTAAATAGTACAAGATTTTATTTGGAGCGATGGAAATTTTTGCAACTAGACAGAAGTGGTTGTTACACAACATTGTGCATGTACTAAATGCTACGGAATCACTCATTCGAATGTGAATTTCACCTCAATACATTTTAAGTTTATTTATTTTGAGAGAGAGAGAGAGAGAGAGAGAGAGAGAGAGAGAGAGAGAGAGAGGAAGGGAGCAGGCAAGGGGCAGAGAGAAAGGGAGAGAGAGAATCCCAAGCAGGCTCCACACTGTCAGTGCAGAGCCCAACACAGGGCTTGAACTCATGAACTGTGAGATCATGACCTGAGCCGAGATCAAAAGTTGGATGCCTAACTGATTGAGCCACCCAGGCGCCCCTCATGTCAATACGTTTGTTGAAAAGTAATGTAAGACTGAAGAATATAATTTTGGCGACCTCACTGAGATGTCATGCCATAGGGCCTGGGCAGAAGCGGGGGCAGGGACGTATATTCATGGTACCCAGCTGGTTCCAACAGTAAGAACCTCCAGGAAAGTACAAAGTAGGACGGTTCACTTCCTTTGTCCCTCACAGAATCCTGGCCCATCTTCTCTTCTCACTGTGTGATCCCTCTTTTGGCCTTTCTTGTCAACTTTTTGACATCTTGTCCAGCCCTGTTTATCCTCCAAAGCCCTAAATTACCCCCAATCATTAATTTGCTCTTCCCACTTCTTTCCACTTAAAACTAATTCATGATAAAGAAGAAGTGTTTTGTTAGCTTGATCATATAAGATATTAGGACTTTTGAAAGAACTCAGTTCACTATAGTTATTTAAGTGGTTTGTTATCAAGTGATGTGTTACTTTTGAATGGCAGGCTGGTGGTTACGATAGCACATTTTTACTGCACAAGCTTAGGTAACACTATGTGCCAGGCACTGAGCAAGTACTAGTTAAATACTAATCTACTTAGTTCCTCCCCACCCAGTTCTCTTCTTCAATCTTTGTCTCTTTCCTTCAAACCTATCTCTCTACACTCCAGGAACCTAAGACTTGCCTGAAGAAGAGGGATCAGACACATTTGAAACTTGTTTCTTAAATGTTTACAATCTCGGGCCTAAACAAGCAGCACACTTAGGAAATAGTAATTCTTCTGTTTGCCTAGTATTATTGTGTTCTAGGTAAAAGAGCCTTCAGAAAAGTAGCAGGTAGTCAATATCTGAAGTAAACTTATAAAGCCCTTAAAAAGTTTTTCTTGGTTAATAGAGCTTTGAATTTTTTTTTAATTGTGGTTAAATACACATAACCTCTGCCATCTTAATAACTTTTAACTTTTTGCCAGCTTAATGATTTTTAATTTTTCAGTAGTGTTAAGTACATTCACATTGTTAAGCAACCAATCTCTAGAACTTTTTATCTTGCAAAAGTGAAACTTTATACCCATTAAACACCAACTCCCTGTGATAAAAATACTTGACAGGACAAAATCATAACAAAAAATAGGCTATATTAATGTCATCTTAAATACGTTAAGTAGAGTGGGGTTTGCAGTGTTAATTTCCATTTGCCATATCCAGCTAGCTGGAAACTTTGCAAGACCTCCATCTACCAGTTTCACAAATTAGATTTGCTTTGTTGTAGATAATTTACGCAATAAGAGGCCTTCTTTGTACATCAGGTCTTTCATCAAATGTCCAAAATTTCCATTGAGGAGGTGGGGAAAGAATTCTCAAGTGGAAATAGCACAGAGTGGCATGTTGGAAGGAAGGATCAGTATGAGGCAAGGCAAAGGGTCCCAACAAATAGAAAGATAACATCGTACGCATCATACTTTTGAGGTAAACAACCCAGCCCGTGAAAATCAGTAAGTTACTCTACCTTGATACTCTATTGCTGTGACTACTTGATGGCCTTTTGGGGCAGACGATCCATAGGCCTTATGATCTGAAAGATTAAAACAGATAAGACCATTAAACCAGCACCAAAGGCCACTTGCAACTATCTGAATGGAATGGAACAATAAGGAAAAATGGCCTAAAGTTTGATGACTGCTTCACACATTCGTAACACATAGGTGTTAAAGTATCAAAATAAGAAAAATGAAGCCAAACCGTGGATGTCTCTTCCAATTTTTTGTACTGTGGTTTTCTGCTTTTCTTTCACAAAGCCAAACCCATGAATCTATTAGGGCTCCATGACAGACAACACAATCTCTTAACAAAGCCTGATTGTTAAACAGGTGTTTTTGCCCTTAATTTAGCTTAATATGCAATATACTGCCTAAGATAGTGTCCCTTTAAGATAAAAGCTAATTGTTTAAGGGTTTAAGTTGCTTTACAAACTTGTCCCTTGATTATACCTATATTATATAGAAATAGGTCATTTAACGTATTTTGTACTATGAAACATATATATAATATATACTGCATATAAATTTTATATACACAATTTTGATGAAAAATGCAAGCAGAATATCTTTATTTTTTCCCCAAACATTTCAATGTTTTTCCACAATTGGTCGGTCTATAGGATTGAAATGACTGACCAGTTATGGTGGCTAATGTGATCTAATAATAATAATAATAATATGATGATGATGATGATGATGGTGTATCATCACTTTCATAAACCTACACAGAAATTTTCATTTTAAAAAGAGCTTTTACTTTTTTTTTATTTGATACAATTCAACATTCAAAACGACTTGGTGTGGTAGGCATGATTAAGACTTCAACAACAAAGTAGAAGAACCAGGAATTAAAACTTTTTTTTAATGTTTATTTATTTTCGAGAGAGAGAGAGAGAGAGAGAGAGAGAGAGAGAGAGAGAGAGCACGCGCGCGCACGGGTGGGGGAAGGGCAGAGAGCGAGGGAGACAGAATCTGAGGCAGGCTCCAGGCTCTGAGCTGTCAGCACAAAACATGACGCGCGGCTCGAACCCACGAACCACGAGATCATGACCTGGGCTGCAGTCGTCTAACCGACTGAGCCACCCAGGCACCCCAAAACTTTGTTTTATATTTATTTTTGAGACAGAGAGAGAGAGATAGGGAGAGAGAGAGAGAGAGACAGAGCATGAGTTGGGGAGGGCAGAGAGAGAGGGAGGCACAGAATCCGAACCAGGCTCCAGGCTCCGAGCTGTCAGCACAGAGCCCGATGCGGGGCTGGAACCCACAAACCGTGAGATCATGAGCTGAAGTTGGACGCTTAACCGACTGAGACATCCAGGCGCCCCTAGAATTTCTTAACTATGAAATAATTTATTACATTTCTGGGAAGGAAGAAAAAATGTTTCCTAAAACATGCCATCTTTGATTTATCCATATGTACATTGGCATGTAAATTAATCTTCCCTGTGTTGGGTTTCATCACTCCTAAGGAATACATGCTATTTTGGATAACTTTCTTTCTTTTTCTCTCTCTTAGAAGCCTGGACAGCAAATATAACTGTGAAATTAAAACTCTCAGAAACCGGGGCGCCTGGGTGGCACAGTCGGTTAAGCGTCCGACTTCAGCCAGGTCACGATCTCACGGTCCGTGAGTTCGAGCCCCCGCGTCGGGCTCTGGGCTGAAGGCTCACAGCCTGGAGCCTGTTTCCGATTCTGTGTCTCCCTCTCTCTCTGCCCCTCCCCCGTTCATGCTGTCTCTCTCTGTCCCAAAAATAAATAAACGTTGAAAAAAATAAAATAAAATAAAAAATAAAATAAAAAAAAAACAACTCTCAGAAACCTACAGGCCTCAAATGTCTAGCTCTCCTGTATAACACTGTATAACTATTCAGGTTCTATATCTCTAAATTGCAAACATCTTTGTTAGGCAAGTCAGCAAAGGTGGTGTCTATGAGAAGAATGTAGAATTGAGCTGGTCCTTTTTATTGGCATTTGTAAATATATATATATATATATATATATATACATATATATATATATACACATACACACACACATATATATACACAAATATATATATGTATACATATATATATATTTTTTTAAATATTTTTATTTTTAAGTAAACTCTACACCCAACATAGGGCTTGAACTCACAACCCCAAGATCAAAAGTCACACACTCCATCGACTAAGCCAGCCAGGTGCCCCCACAGTTGTAAATATATTTATATACAGCAGACTTATGTGGCTCAGTCTTAGAGAGGCTTCATTCAGGTCACCAAAGAATGATCTCATAATATCACTTTTGCTTGTATAGTAATAAAAAAAAAAAATGAAGGGGTCCAAGCAATCTTTTTAAGTATCTCCCTTTTCCCTTTTCCATATATGTCTGTCACATACCAGAATATGTGCCATAGTCCTCTGAACCCCACCGTCACCCCTATTTGCCTTCCTTTTCCAGTTTCTCCTCTCCTTCCCCAACTTTGTTTTGTAGATCCCAAAGGGAGGATCCAGATCTCCAGAGATCATCGGGAGGGAAGACCCGAAGCTGGCCAAGCTCAAAGAGTCAGGATCTCATACGTTCCTGCTGCATGATCGCGGACTGTTTTTCCAGTGATTCTGATCCCAAACCATTTTTCTGTGACACTTTCAAAGCTCACTTTGAAAAAGCCTCTATTCTCCGTTAGCAATGGGTAAATTAGTGCCCTCCGAGAAGTTCTGATTGTGACAGGCATTTCTTGTGATTTTTGAACTATTTTAGTACCTTTTTTAGACAAAACAATGAAGATGTCTATTCCCTAGAAGCCAGTTGAGGGAGAAATCTGGGCAAAAGAGAAAAAGAAAATCTTTGTTCCCTCCACATCATCACATCTTTGAACTTTTCAAACACTGCACTGCCTACTGAGAAAGTTTATTTTCTTCAGCAGGCTTAGGTCTGCTTTCATTTGAGGCGAATGTTAGTCTCATCTGAGATCGGAAGATTTAGCCCTGGGCTCAATTGTTTTCCCCTCTTCTCAAATCCCAGTTTCCTATTTGCTAAAACATCCTTTGAGAAAGATTTCTTAAATTTGCAAAAATTGCTTGAAAAGTCCTATGGAAAAGTAGCAGCGGTGAACTTCAGAAACGTGATCAATTTCTTCAGAACTTGTATATGTATACATATGAATAGGAAAAAAAAGTGTCCCAGATACTAAGAGAGGATTGACTGAATGGGAAAAACTATGAAGGCCAAACAAATTATAAAGGGGATTCGTTTTAGTAAATTAATAAATAGATGCTACTTCTTGATACCTGAATATTTATTTCTGCGATTTTAAGTGATGTCTTCTAGCTACATTGCTTCCTCTGGTTCTATTTACTTCTAGGCTTGCTTTTATTTAAGTAAAAATATCAAAAATGTGTGGTCATCTATGATGAACTTATTTAAACAGAAAGCTGTGAATCTTAAAAGAAATCATTTGTTATAAGATTTCTGTCTTGTTTCAAGCCTTTTTGGTCTTGGAATTCAGTTGTGTTTTGTTTGTTGTTGGTGGTGGTGGTGTTTAACTTGAACCCGGTAACTTTATGAAAACAAATGTTGGGTTTTATATCAACATTTTACTAACAGACTTTAGGAAGAGTCTCTGTTGGCTGTTTTCTTGAACTGATTTTTATTTTTTCTTCACTTTTCCAGAATGAGTTTAAAAAGAAAACAAACAAAAAATTGTCCTGTAGGTCTGCTGGCTGAGGTCAACAATTGTTTTAAAGTTAGCTACAAAACATCTCTAATAGTTTTTGGATGTGTTCCAAAATCACTGGCAGAAGTTCATAAAATGAGGTTAAGAGAGAATTATTTCCATAATTGTTAACAACTCCAAGTCAAGTAATCCCTAACCAAATGAAACCTTTTATGTTTCTTTTCTCCCAACTCTAAAAATAAAATTTCTTACACTATCGCTCATCTAAAATACTCTTGTGTGACTAAGAATAATCTAGTATGATTAAGAATAAATATTTATATTCATGCCACAATTTAAAAATTTACTATAGAAGTATTTTTAAAGTCACACTTTGGGGGTGCCTGTGAGGCTCAGTTGGTTAAGCATCCAACTCTCCTCCATGGCTCAGGTCATGATCTCACAGTTCATGAGTTTGAACTTCAGGTGGGCTCCAAGCATGGAGCGTGCTTGGGATTCTCTCTCTCCCTCCCCTCATTCCCTCTCTCTCTCTCTCTCTCTCACGCACACATAAATAAACTGAAGAAAAAAGAAAGTAACACTTTTAATTGGACATGGTTACGAAAAATTGATGTGTCACAGAGGTTTTTTTTTGCTTTAAGAGTACACTACAGGGGCGCCTGGGTGGCGCAGTCGGTTAAGCGTCCGACTTCAGCCAGGTCACGATCTCGCGGTCCGGGAGTTCGAGCCCCGCGTCAGGCTCTGGGCTGATGGCTCGGAGCCTGGAGCCTGTTTCCGATTCTGTGTCTCCCTCTCTCTCTGCCCCTCCCCCGTTCATGCTCTGTCTCTCTCTGTCCCAAAAATAAATAAACGTTGGAAAAAAAAAAAAAAAGAGTACACTACAGAGAGTACCAAGCAAGTTCTAAAAACTGTGGATATTAGTTATTTCATAAGTTTTCAAAAATGAAAATCAAATGTGGCTTTAACAGTCACTAATATACAATCATTGTGCTAATGAATATTGAAAAGATGCATGGGGCTAGTGGTAATAGATAAAATAACACCATCCAGTATTTATTATGGATTAGTGTATGTATAAGGTAGAAATAACCCAATGAAGTAGGAATTAGGAGTTAGATAATATACTTCTCTATCTCACTATCATGCAAGGGAGGAGAGGATGAGAGGATCGGGGAGAGGGGGAGAGGGAAGGGGAGGGAGAGAGAGACACACACAAACAGACGTGTCCTAGTCTCTCAAACTGAATGTTCTGGCCCTTCCTTTTAACGAGACCTTGATATCCTATATGCAGAGAAAAGGGAATCATGCCAAAGTATAAGGAAAAATAAAAGATGTGACTTTGGACCTACCCGTGGCTGATGTCCTGATGAGTTAATG